AATATCAGAAAGGCCACATCTTCCTCATCCCTGGTGTAAAGCTTATAGTTGCATTTTCACTCCGCTGCTAAACCAACTATTAGCGACCACTGGAGAACATTTCCCTCCACCCTCAAGTGGTTTTCAGAAGCAAGATTTTCCCTGCCTCTCTGATTTATTCATGAGAATAAATAAGATTTTGAGGTTTTGACTTGGGGTGGGGGACGAGGAAGAAAAGGATTTTTGCCTGCGGAAGTGGGCGGACGCGGTTTAGTTGCACTCCTTGGGGTGGGAGAAGGAAGTGATAGCGACAAGGATGGAAGTGAAAGCTGTGCAATGGTGGTTTGGCTCTTAGTCATTCCTGAGGCTGGGATGAGGTTGAACGATCAAAATACGGGCCACTTTTTAAAACAACCCAGGAAAATCCTTCGTCACAGGAAGGAGAAACTTCCAAAAATGCCTCTAAAATTAGCCGGTTGACTCAACGCAAAACAGAGTGGAAAGCTTGAGGGAACGTTAAGATCTGGATAGGGTTTCTGCTTCTGTGTGTGTCTGAGAGAGGACAGACCACGGTCACATCTGCACCACATATTAAAAGCACTCTTATGTCACTTCAGTGGTCATGGCTCCCTCCCAAAGAATCCTGGGAACTGTAGCTTCTTATGGGTGCAAGGAATTGTAGCTCTGCGAAAGGTCTCCTAGCTTGGCATCCTTCACAAGCTGCAGTTTTCAGGATTCTTTGGGGAAAGCCATGATGCTTAAAGCAGTATAAAAAGGTAAAGGGACCCCTGACCATTAGGTCCAGTCGTGACCGACTCTGGGGTTGTGGCGCTCATCTCGCTTTATTGGCCGAGGGAGACGGCGTACAGCTTCCGGGTCATGTGGCCAGCATGACTAAGCCGCTTCTGGCGAACCAGAGCAGCGCACGGAAACGCCGTTTACCTTCCCGCTGGAGTGGTACCTATTTATCTACTTGCACTTTGAGGTGCTTTCAAACTGCTAGGTTGGCAGGAGCTGGGAGTGCTTTAAATGCTAAGGTGTTGTTGTGACCCACGTTGCACTTCCAGATACCATTGGACCACAGCTCCCATTGCCCATATTTTGTGGGGCTGCTGGGAAATGGGAACCCAGCACCACCTGGAGGCACCCAGACTCCTGACCCCTGTAGCTAACCGCTACACCCCACTGTACTTGGTGGGGAATAACTTTGATGTCTGGACCATAAAGAAGGCTGATCGCCGAAGAATGGATGCTTTTGAATTATGGTGCTGGAGGAGACTCTTGAGAGTCCCATGGACTGCAAGAAGATCAAACCTATCCATTCTGAAGGAAATCAGCCCTGAGGGCTCACTGGAAGGACAGATCCTGAAGCTGAGGCTCCAATACTTTGGCCACCTCATGAGAAGAGAAGATTCCCTGGAAAAGACCCTGATGTTAGGGAAAGATTGAGGGCACAAGGAGAAGGGGACGACAGAGGACGAGATGGTTGGAGAGTGTTCTCAAAGCTACAAACATGAGTCTGACCAAACTGCGGGAGGCAGTGGAAGACAGGAGTGCCTGGCGTGCTCTGGTCCATGGGGTCACGAAGAGTCGGACACGACTAAACAACAACAACAACTTTGATGTGTGTTAAGCCATGGTTTTTAGGGGATATTTTTCAGCCTTGAGCGCTGGGACAGCAATCTCTTACAAATCAACCCGGGATGTGGGGTGTGCGTTAGCACCTCACGTTCTCCTTGTCTTCTCCTGTGTTCCCATAACTTCCCCCTCAGCTTTCCCTCCCGTAGTTAATTTACTTTCCGTGCCCTTTTTTGTGGCCTTAGATGTGTGTTCTTGGAAGGAGGATTAGCTCGGCTCCCACAACAAGCGAGAGGGAGCCTGGTTCCCATTCTGTTCTCAAGCGGAGAGGGGTTTTGTGACTTCCAGCAACTGAGTCATCTGTTATGTTGTGCGGGGGAACAAGGAGACCTGTATTTTCCAGCTCTCCTTCCAAGAGAACAGGGAAGTCAGCCTGTGGTAGGGCGGCCAGATCAGGGCTGGATTGAGGTTTGATGAGGCCCTAAGCTACTGAAGGTAATGGGGCCCTTTCTATGTCCAGCATGTCACTTTGTTAACAACAATGTTCACTGGGTTTCTTTTGTTGAATATATGCTATAATGGTAATTTATGGACCTATAGGTGTATCTAAAGCCATTTGCCATGTTGCCATGCAACCACCCAGCGATGTAGGACCTATACAGGGACTGGTAAGAATTAATTCGTTCTGGAGTCCTAATGAATGTTCTTAGAGCATTAAAGGGCCTCCGCTGCAGCACTGTGGAGCACATTTGTTTATCCTGAAGCAAGTTCTTGAACCTGCACTTTTTTGGCTGTAACCTGAAGCGTAGTCAGAGTACCATGTATTAGAAATGAGCATCCAGTGATATTTCAGGAGAGGCTAGCAGCGGGGCATTACTTAATCAAGAGCCTACAAACGTTGCTGTATGTAGGTTTTATTTATTTGTTTTTAACCTTACACAGTCTTACCTCATGTTATGTCCGCTTCCTGTTATGTTCTTTCAGGTTACGTCCTGCGGCAACCCGGAAGTACCGTAAAGGGTTACTTCTGGGTTTCGCCGCTCGTGCATGCACAGAAATGCAAAATGAAGTCACACGCATGCGCAGAAGCTGCGAATCGCAACCTGTGCGTGCGCAGACGCGCCGCTGCAGGTTGCGCTCTTTTCATGTTGCGAATGGGCCTCCAGAATGGATCCTGTTCGCGACCAGAGGTACCACTGTATTTTGCAAATGTACATCCAGTTTTTTCCCCTTTAACTTTTTTTGCCCCCTCCCCCAAGAGAGTGGGGCCCTAAGCTATCACTTGTTTAGTTTATACATAAATCCAGCACTGGGCCAGATGCAAAAAGGCCTGGATGGGGCTCCTGCACCTTCAATGGTTGTGCATGTGGAATCTGGAGTAGGTGCTGCACTTTCTAAAATTCCCGATTTGATGATTAAAAGGTGCAGGAGCCCCGTTTTTTTTGCATCTGGCCACATCTGTCCCCCTCAAAGCATCATGGGAACTGTAGTTTGTTAAGGGTGCTGGGGATGGTAGTTCCGCGAGGGAACAAACTACAGTTCCTGGGGTTCTGGCAGGGAAAATGATCTTGAAATGTATGGCGTTGATGCTGCCATAGTCTTCGGACAATTCTCTCATGATATCATTAGCAGTGTGAGCGATATTGGCAAGCCTACTGAGAAGCAGGTCCTATTGAGTTGAGTTCAGTGAACCTGACTCTTATTCTCAACAAAAAAAGATGAAAAATTATTATTTTCTTGCTTCTGCTTTCTCTCATTCCTTCAGTCCTTCAATTTCTCCTCAGACAAGGATGTTAAAACGTCCCTTAGAAAATGGCAGGAAATTTGATAACTGAGGGGACACCCTTTCATCACAAAACATCTGGCCACTAAGTTTTATTTATGTGTTTATGTTTACATCCATATCTATCTATCTATCTATCTATCTATCTATCTATCTATCTATCTATCTGAGAGAGATGTTTCACCCCCTGGGTAATATTTTCCTGATGCAATTCCACAAACAAACAAACAAAAACAAAACACAAAACAAAACCTGAGAGGGGGCAGGTCTTATGTTTATTTCACCACTAAAAAAGAGATGTGTGAGTGCCTCATTTTAATACACACACACTTCCCTTCAACATCTCCCCTAACTCACAAAAAAGACTCCCCCCTTCAAAAAGAAGTCATTTATTTGTATATACAAATAAAAAAAGAGAGAACGAGCCTTATTTATATATACACATACGCTTCCATTACATTTTCCCCACCAAAAGGGGTTAGGTGGGTTTTTATCTATGCACAGATATAGACTGTCCCCACCGCAAAAAAGGAGTCATCTTATTTATTTGTATATATACATACTGTCGCTCAACCCCTAAGGAAGGGGGCGGCTAGTCTTTATATTTAGACTCCCCCCCCTCAAAAAAGCCATTTATTTCTTGTATACAAATATGTGCTTGCTTCCCTAAAGGGGGCGCGAGAGCCTTACTCCCATAGACGCCCCTTCAACATTTCCCCCATCAAAAAGCGGGGATCTTTATTTATATCCCGCCTCAAGAAAAGAAGAAGAGCAAGCCAAATAAAAGAGGGCGTGATCTTATTTATTTACACAGAGACACAAAACACTCGCCCCCATATAGATGGTTTCCTTGTCCTTTTTTAGGGCTCCCGTTTCCTACGACCTCCCACCCTACCCTCTCCAAAGAAAAACAGATGCGGGTGGATAAAATTCGTGCGAGGGAGGAAAAAAATAATAATCCTCATATTATCACTTGTGAGGAATGTTGTGTATTGAGAAAACAACCATGGGCGAGAACGCGCGCGCGCTCTCACACACAGACAGGAGAAGCCCCCCACCCCCGCCCACTTGTTTCTCTCTGTGGCGGGACGGCGCGCTCGCTCGCCCGCCCGCGCGGGAGCGCGCGTTGCCTGTCTCGCTCTCCCCGTCCCTCTCCGTGCCTCCCTCCCTCCGCCATGTTGGATGGCGCGTGTGGGCGGCGGGTGTCAAACCCAGTCCGAGAGGCGGCGGCGGCGGCGGCGGCGACCACGACGCTCCTCCTCCTGCTCCTGCTCCTCCTGCTGCTGTTGCTGCTCCTGGCGGCGCTCCAGTCCGGAGGAGCCACTTGGGCCCTGCGAGAGAAGCAGCAGCAGCAGCAGCAGGTGGGGGTTGTTGTTTTTTATAGAGGGGAGGTGGGCCGGACCTGGGCCTCAGGTGGCCGCGGTGGGAAGGGGCGGCCGAGCCTCCCTCAGCCCCCGCCGCAGGCTGGAGGGAGGTGGGGAAAGAGCAAGCGTGGCTGCCGGGTGGGGGGCGTGTGCGTCCCCGAAGCGGGTGTATCGAGGCAGACGGGGGCGGGTGTGGGGCGGGGGGCTGAGGAGGAGGAGGAATTGGGGGGTGTTGTTGTTGGGTGAGGGGGGGTCGGCCAGGGCTCGGGGTCGCCTGAGGCGGGGTCTGCAAAGCGGGTATCTTGGGGGGGGGGAAGCGCCTCTGAGACGTGAAATGCATCTTTGCTCCCCACCCCCAATTGGCGCTGCTTCCTCTGCCTCTTCCCATGTGGCATTTTTAGCTGGTTTGGCAATACAGATGGATGGATGGGCTTGTTGCTGGGTTAAGTTGGGCATTGTAAATATTACCTGGGGTGCCTTTCCCCCCTCGTTTTTAGTGTGTGTTTCGCTATGGCATTTTAAATCTTCCCAGTTTTGCTTCGTTTCTGCATCTTTTAACCCGTTTTGCTTTGTTTCTGTGTGCTAAACTGAACTGACTAGTAAGTATTTGTTACGTTTGATGTATTAACATAGGCGTCTTAAAATATTTATGCACTGACACATAGGTTATGGATATATATATATATATATATATATGCATTAAGTATCTGTTACATCTATGTACCATATCGTATATATTCACAGTGCCTTACCAATTGCACACATGCATACCCTACTCCGTAGGGGTGAGTTCAGTAAGTGATCCATTATGAAGCTCTGATCCCCAAAGGGTCAACATTTCAATGTGAAGATTTTGAGTTTTGTTTGTTTTTACAGCACTGCTGTTTTTAGTACTAACTTACCTGATACATAGGCTGGTTTTGTAAATATATTTCTGTTTATACTGGCTATTGTGAGACTCCTCAGATGCAGAAGAGGTGGGGCATGCGATAAGAAATCGGGGTTTCCTGAAATGGGGTGCTTCATAAGCATGGGAGGGAGAGCTGGATTTATGGGTGCAGAGTAGAGGGACGTGTCTGGGGATTAAAGTGACTGGATATCTTGAAGGTGGTTGTTTGGGGATAGTGAAGTGGGGTGCATGAAGGAAAGGAGGAAGATAATGGGGAGGTGGGTTGGATCGTGGGGCTTTGGCTCTTGTTGAGGGTGCTGTGTCTGTGTGCATCCAGAAGGCACATGCTAAGCTTATTTGTGTTGGCTTATGTTGCTGTGAGATGGGTGGGACGAGAAGAGACACTGGGAAACGTTGAGGGGTGTGGGTTCTTGGGGCTATGCTTTGGGGAGTCTCTACAGAGGAAACCAGTTTATGGGAACACATGCCTGTGAACATACATGGTTTGCAATGGGAGCATGAACAAGCAGGGTGTGTATGGGGGTGTTTTATGGGCTTGGGCAAGGTTTGGAAGGCTTTTGTTTTTCCGTGTGTTTGTGCACGAGTGTGTCAAGGTGGCGTGTAATGCTGCCTTGAAATTAACACCCTGCATTCCAAGTAGCCTTTGTTGTCTCCATTAGGCTGGCAGCAACAGTTTCTTCATATTGTGGCAGCAAAGTCTGTAGCCACTGATTCCCCCCCTCTGAGCAGCAAATCTAAGCTTATCCTTACAATACCGGAACAGCTAATGGCAGTGAAATATCTGTTTTCCATTTCTGTCTAGCCTAGATTTGATTAAAATTTCTCAGAAAGGAGGTTGATGAGCTGCACAATTCATATCTATCTAACTGAATACATTTTAAATCCCCTGACACTCTCAACTTGTGGATTTGCAGCTGACTTTTTCTTCATTTTTTTAAAAAAAATCTGATTAGTTTGAGAGATGTTTGAAAGTAATGTTATTGGATCTGGAGAACATAATGTTAAAATATGCATTAAAATTGTAGTTGCATAGGGAGTTACCCCTTTGAACATGATACATAGCTTTGCGAACACAAAATGATCGTACTGCTCTACTATAACTGTACAAAAACATCTTTACTGTTCCGATCTGAAAAAAAGTTAGTGGCCATGATGAAAATCTAATCTCTCTGCTAATACTGGTAATATGTGCTCTTGATTATATTCTGAATTATTTTGTTATTCCTAGTACAATAACCAAGAAACTTAAGTTGTGTTCTGTGTTGGTTTTTACTTAATGCCAATCAGAGAAATAAATCTTAATATGTGTGATGAATTTTCGTCTTTTAAAAAGCACCCCCCCTTCCTCCACTTCCAAATTAGGTAAGAGTGCCTAACGTGACTGTAGGTTACTTAGCACTACAGCCTATATATTTCACTAAGGTTTACTTCTGTGAAAGAATGGGCTTGTAGTTGACTGTAGTTCTAAGAATGCTTAGCAGGGAGTAAATTCCATTTAAAAATGAGACTGAATTCTGAGTAACTTATTTGTAGGACCAAACTACAGAGAAGCACATGTTCCTACAATAGCTTCACATGTGTTTCCTCTTACATGCTGAATTGAACATTGTAATAATGGAAATACACCTGTGTAGCCTTAACTTACATATCCGACTGGTATTTTTTAGAGGTAATGGAAATTTCTATTGTACTACGTTGTGTGGTATGTGAAACAGCTACTTAGGGTTTCACAGCCATTTTAGGGTAATTTTTTTGGCAGTACATGAAAACTACAGTATAATAATTTTTTCCCCATTTACCATCTCTAACAACATAATCTGACAAATGCCTGCACAGAAGTAAGACCCATTGAGTTAAACGGGGCTTACTCCTACTGTGTATGGGATTGAAGCCTAAAAGGAATTTCTAATTGGAATGGAAGTATTCTTTGGTAATGTTATTTACTGACATTCTCAGATTACCTTAATTCCTTCTGATCTTAGCAGATGTCTTGTGTGTAATTTCCATGCAGAGCAGCGCTGGCTGACGTATGTCGCGGATCAAACTAAACCAGCCAAACTAGACAGATGAATTTTCAAGTACTGACTTGTAGATATGAATATTTTGGGGTGTTTGCAGCTTTTAGGAATACTGTAATATGTATTGTGCTTGGTATAAATAAACCGGATAGCTTTCTGTAGCCACTTGACAAGTTTAGCAGATTAGAGTTGATTCCTTGGATGCCTTTGTGCCTTGAAGTTGATGGCATTTTCCCTGCATGATCTCAGGGAATCCTTAAAAATAGTTGCTCTACGCTATTGCTAAATGGCATACACCACTTGTGGGGATGAAGCCTCAAATAACTTCTGTGGTGGCCATATTCATTTATTGTTTGTTTACATGGGGAAAAAAATAGACTGCTTAATGTTAGAAAATTTCTAAGCAGTGAATCTTACAGTTTTGTAAAAGATCGCCACAAATGCAAATAGTTCTGAAGTTGGAGATCTAGTCATTATATTGGGCCAGAGAACTGGCAGCCTGTGGGCCAGATCCAGTCTATGTAACCTTTTGGACCACCTTGTCAATCTTCCCTTGGCCCCCTCACCACCTCAGCAGTGGTCCATTTTCTACAGCCACTGCTTTGGGAGACACCTAAGGGAGCTACAGTTGTACAGTGGTGCCCCGCAAGACGAACGCCTCGCTAGACAAAAGGGTTTTCCGTTTTGGAGGCGCTTCGCAAAACGAATTTCCCTATGGGGTTGCTTCGCAAGACGAAAAAATCTTGCGAGTCCCCGCGGGTTTTTTCGCTCCCCCCCTTTTCCTAAGGCGCTAAGCCGCTTATCAGCTGTTCCGCTGATAAGCCGCTTAACAGCTGATCGCGAAAAGCCGCTAGACCACTGTAGCGCTAATCCGCTAAGCTGTCAATGGGCTTGCTTCGCAAGACGAAAAAAACCGCTAGATGAAGAGAATCGCGGAACGGATTCTTTTCGTCTTGCGAGGCACCACTGTACCTTGGAAGTCGAACAGAATTCATTCCGGAAGTCCGTTCAACTTCCAAAATGTTTGGAAACCAAGGTGCAGCCAACGGAACCCATGTCGGACGTTTGGGTTCCAAAGAAAGTTTGCAAACTGAAACACTCACTTCTGGGTTTGCAGCGTTTGGGAGCCAAAACATTCGACTCACAAGGTTTCCGACTTCCGAGGTACGACTGTACTGCTCAAAGCTGGGGTTCCCACATAATGGTAGCATGAAATTTATTTTGCTTGGTGTACGTTGGCCTGCTTTCTGGCTGTTGTAGTGCTGCCTGGAGGTGAATCCAGCCCTGTTTGCAACAGTGGATTTTTAAAATCTTGTTATTCGTAAGTCGAAGGATATATACATATTTCTAACCGGTGAATTCAGAAATCAGCATGCACTAACATAGACTGTTCTGTCTCTGTAGGATTTGGGTTGAGGCAATTTTGCTGCTGTAACCAAATTATCTGTTATGCTACGCATTCCTTCTTGTGAATTGTGATGCTTTCAAACTGTCTTCGAGGGAACTTTGAAGCTCAGCAAACATTCCTGTGTATGGTCAGCAATGGCAATCTTACCTGAGGCAGCTCGACTGCCACCAAGTCTTCCCTTGCAAAGTGTTGTGTTGTGTGCAAGGTTCATGAAAGGTGATGTTGAAACCCGGCAGGTCTTTTAAGTGCTCTCAGGATATGCAACACAACTGGTTCCCTAGCAGACCAGTCCATTCGGAAAGGTATTCCCTGAAGGGCGAAAATGTGAAAAGCTGCTGTAGCCTGCCACTTTATACATGAGTTGTGGGGATTAAATGAGAATGGGGAGAACCATGCGCACCACCTCAAGCTCTTTGGAGAAAAAAAGGTGGGATGTAAATGCAATAAAATAAATAAATAATACAAGTCAGTGTAGGGAGCAGTGGCTAGAGCGTTGGGTTTGGAAAATGGGATGCGATCTGGCCTTGGACAGGTCATTTCTAGTATAACTTTCCAACTGTGCTGTGTATTTAGAGGAAGGGTGAGATGCAAATGTTAAATATAATAAAACGGCAGAAATGACCAGTTCTCTTCCTCAGTTTCTACCTTTGCATCAGACCAAGATGGATTGGGTAGGGCTGTGCCTGTCCCATCAGTCTGGCTCCAGTAATACATTATGCCTGGATGTTCACAGGGCTTACACATGGTTAAAGCTGGAGCCAGCTAACATTCGTTGGCATCTCCTTATTTACTACAAGCTATCTCTGAAGAAACTGACGAGTGAAAACTAATGTTGGCTTTTAGGAAGCAAGGAAGCTATGGCATTCAGGACGAGACAGAACACAGTTTTCCTTCTTGACTATGGTTTGTAGCAGCTGTTCCTTCTGCATGCTAATCGGTCCCTGGTTGAAAATAATGGTGGTGGATGGAGTAGCTGTGGAAAGCAGCAGAACGGTGTGTTGTTTTTCTCTCTTCCAGTCCTAACTAGGCTTGTTCTTAAGTAAACCCCACTGAAATATATGGGCCATGGAAAGAATGTGTGTTTAGGATATCAGTCCTCAGAGCAGCCTTCATGAGTTTCGATCCCTGATTGTCCCTTAGTTTCTATAGCTTCTGTGGCTGCTCGCTGGAGTCTCCGATGATTTTTAGAGCAACCTTGGTTGTTAGTAGCTCACATTTCTAATACTGGACATAACCAGGAATAATAGGCATCAACGTCTAATG